ACAATGGCATTCCTGCAATTTCAACATGTGATAAATAAAGGCATGAGTATTTTCCTCCAGCTGTTCTCTTTGATATTTAATTGTCCTAAGCTGGTACCTCCTTTTCAAAGTCTGTGGAAACACAGGCATATGGGTGTGGACGAGTTTGTGGGAAATAATGAGAATGGGACTGTTTCTGGTCTACTGTATCTTATGTGAAGAGTGAGAAACTTTACTGTTTTCACTCAAGTTTAGGGTGTGAAAAGGAGCAGTCTGAACCCTTTGCAGTATTTAACATGAGTAAGTTTTTAGACAATGGCTCCCTATAAAAATCTGTTACCGAATAGTCATAGATTCAAAGGCAGCCACAATTTTTTGTCATTTGTTGGTGATGCATCCTTCTCTGCTTAATGTTGTGGTTTGTGACACCAAAGAAATTAATAAAGAAATTTTAAGAATTAAATATATTGAACTTTTTAAAGTCATTAAGGATTTTATACATTAATGATGTCTTTTAACAAAATTATAAATCAGATTGTTTCTATGTGATAGCTCCACGTTCAAAGAATGAAGGTACATTTTAGGCTTCTCTTTACAATTTTTTTTTAAACGAACATGTTTCTGATGTTTTATAAACTTACATTACAAATGCAGTTACATGTTCCAAACATTTTTTATTTTACAGCCTAGAAATACTCATATTTATATGGTATATAAATCAAGACAGATTTCCTATAGAAAAAGTTTAAAGACGTTGCTCTTTGCTGTCCTTTTAAAAAGAAAAGAGGAGCTCATATTTCTAGGATGTGAAATAAAATAAACCTCCAAAAGACAAATAAGTATCAGCTATGTGTTCTTAAGAAACATATGCTTCCTGCCTAAGGTTATACATACATACGATTTAGCCATAATAAATAATAATAAAAACTGAAAGAGTATATAACTTTTAGAGTTCTGTATATTAGGGTTTGAAATATACCTACCCTTAAAACCCTCCTTATCTCTTCAAATTTCAGATTGTTCATTCTACCCTGCCCTTTTCTTATTGTTTTGTTACAGGATATAATACAATGACAAATGGTAGGTAAGAGTTTTCAAGTTTAAATAAAGCCAAACATAAAAGCTCTTCAGAAATGAAATCGGATTTATTTGTTAAAATAGTTGTACTGTGTACAAAGGAAATTACTGTAATTTACAATATTTAAGGCATAGAACATTGGGTGTTTTTTGCTTCCACTGGAAGAACGGTATTTTAGAACTAAAGAACCATTAGAATCAGATATTGATAGTAGTAATAAAATAATAATATAATAATAAATACTTCACATTTATATAATCTGAATTTATAATAATCCAAGTGTTTCAGCATTAACTAATACTTTTTAATCTGCCTCCAACATGTAGGTAGAAATGTCTTCTGTAGCTTACAGAAGAAAAAAGCTGTATGACTCATGGTGAAGGTTACATCAACCCTAAGATATTTGTCTTTGTCCAGTTTCACAACTGCCAGCAGCAGAGCTCCAGGAGGACAGTGAGCAGGCAAGCGAGTGCAAACACTGTTTGCTGTACTCTTAGCCCATTAGAATATAGTCTGGTAATTTCCTCCTTTTCTGATTTCAGTTCTAAAAAAAAAAAAAAAATTCTAGAAAATAAAACAGTTAATGAGTAAAATATGTAAATTTTTAAACATAAGGATTTTCAACATACTTTGAAAGTCCTCCGACATCTCACAGGTACTTAAGTTAAAGGTATCAGCTGTTAAAGCCAATCAAAGAGGCTGTTCTCAGGGGGAAGATGTGAATAGGTGCCCCATCAATGATCGTTTGAGGAGCAACTGATAGCACTTATCAGCTCTTGCAGGCATTAATCTCAGAATAATCAAAAGTAAATACCAAGAAAAAGCAAGAGCAAGATCTTCACAAGAGGTATGCACTCAAGTCTGCATGTAGCCTTTTAACCCTTCCTTTAACAAGAAGGGGCTTCATTTATTAGCACAAACAGAAAGCCATACTCTCATGCATGTGAAAGCCACTGGGTCCCTGCTCAGAGGATAAGCAGATGATTCTCCACTGCCACTTTTATTGCCTTTGTTAAGCTAAGCTCAAGAGTAGTAAGCTTAAGTTGTTTTTACCAAGCACGGTGAGGCCTGTTAGGTCTTTTGCTCCTGTAATGGGAAAAAATGGGGAAGATTCAAAGGTGAACACCCAAGGGAACTTGAGCATTTAACTCCTCTGAAGAGTTTAACGAGCAAGTTGGGTGCCACACATAATTAGTCAATACAGAAGACTTCAAGGCAAAAGTAGTTTTGGTGGTATGTTGATAGAAATGACCTTTCTTTCGCATTTCACTTCTTTGTGGGTTTGTGGGCTTATCACACAGCAGGGCATATCCTGGGGACCCAAGAGGCTCAAGTTTTGAAATTTTTATTTACTTCTGAGTTGGTGGTATAAGTCAGGAGTCACAGCTTCAATGCACCGCTATTCAGATAGGAATCTGGTCAGGAAAGAAGAGGCTGGTATTTCCTTGGGGTGCAAATGAATCTTGAAGCTATTTAGGTCTGTTGTGATGTTGGCACAACTGAAGGAAAGTATAGTACAACAAAGAGTGATATTGAGACATCATGGATGGAGAAGGGCAAGAATATTTTGCACTAACTTTGCCACTGGAGATAAAATAATATTAAACTCCTATTAGTCATCTCAGAGTATTGAAAATAGTCTGGATCTCAGTAGCCAGTTATCCATGGAAAATAGTACCTGTAAAGCAATCCTTCAAGTTTTTATGCTAGCTGATACACTGTTTTCAAAAATACTCAAACCTTTATACAGGGGTTTTCACAGGCTGATGTATAAAGACTTGACTTAAAGTAATATAGTGCTTTTGAGGAGACTGGGTGCTACTACTTTACACTGATCAGGACTATGGGTACACATTTTTTGTGGCCTGTGCTCAGTCTTAGAACGCTGTACAAGAATATTTTGAAGATTAAGATACAGATCTTAAAATAAGGTTCAGACAAGTTTTCTGCCATTTATGTGTTAAGTAGCTTATGCAAGAGCATTCAAGTTTTCAGTACTTGTTTTTCTAGTGTAATACTGGTTTCAACTTCCACCACAGCAGTTTACACTGCTGTCTTTTGTCTTTCCTCATCCAAGAAACATTTTTGTATGCTTGGATGTAGTTGTACTAATTGTGCTCATTAAGTGGGAAGTCATAGACATGTGCTGGTTTTGCAGAACAGAGAAATATTTAATCCCTGTAATTTTCAGTTAAAATGGGGGAAAGTTTCCTACTGCACAGGATTATAAAGATCTGAAAGTATTTTACATGATGTACTATAGAGGCAACAGCGATATTATTTACTGTCTCACTAATGCATTCTCTGAAGCAAAAGAGGCCACTGCAGAAGTCTAAATAAAGCACATACAGCATCCTTGGAGCACCCCACCTTTGCAGAAAGCAATTATGTTACCCACAAGATAAAAATAGTTGATTTAACGCCTTTCCTTACCACAATTGTCGTGCATGATTTCTGAGAGACAGTTCAGAGTACCATAGCCACACCGACACAGCCAACAGCCCTTCAGCACCCAGGCGCCATGGGCAATGCTCCCGCAGTTGCTGTCAAGGACAAGGGAGACATTTGGTACGTCCCTGATTCCACCACAGAAAATAACCATCCAGAGCAGCTCACTCACTCTCTCTGGTTTTTGTCTGGTTTTTACCTTTGCCGCTCATCATGTTCACAGTATCTGCCAGTGAAATGTTTTAGGCAGGCACAGAAAGCCCCTAGGATACAGGTCCCTCCATTTTGGCAGCAGTGTCTGTTCAGTTTTTTACCTGCAAGACAATATTATAGAGGTTACCAAACATCCCCAGGGCTCTGAACCTCCCCTTTTCCTCACTCGTTCTCTCAAGTCTCTCCAGTTGCCAAAGGATCTTAAGGGTATCTAGTTTTATTGTCTTTAGAGACAATAAAATTATCTGCCTGTTAGGAGTGTTTGTTCAGTTAAGCCTGGTTTGTTTAGTTAAGGATTAGAAGCAAACTACTAGGGATTACAGGACGGTCAAGAAGCAACGCCCGTAGGAGCAGCAGCAGCACATATTCAAGTGAAATATTTCACTGATGGAGGCAGGTTTCAGTCACACCAAGAAATGGGGCATTGTTACTGGGCAGTGGTGCTTATTTCTGAAGAAAGGAGGCTTTGTTTCTGGGAAGAGTTGCTTAGTTTTGAGAGGGGAGGGGCGCGCTCTCTAAGCCTTTCTCAGACTCCTGGGATTGAGTACCAGTCTAAAACTTTATACATGTAGGAGGAAATATAAGCCTGTCCTTGTTTTTTTTTTTCTGTTAGTGCTGTTGCCTTCAGACAGCTCAAACTTTTTTTTTTAAATTAAATAATTTCTGTTCATGAAATATGGTGAATTTTAGAAAATGAACATAATTTTACAAAATGTTACAAACACTTTTGCAAATCCAAAGGACCAACCCCTTCTTAATTCCTAGTATCCTTCCCTGTTTTCTGTTACCACCTTTTGCAGGTAAGAGGTCTGCGGTTCTACCTTAAATTTTAACCACCATTTCCTAGGCGGCCACGGGACTAATGTAAAGGAGTGGCCACAGAAAACTAACCGGCTGGACTCTTCCAGGACAACAGTCCAAGCATTACTATGATATAATATTTTTAAAAGCAATTTTATGGAATTGTTTAAAGAAATGATGTTACCTACTCTCTGTAATCCCAGTGAAAGGCACAAATGCCCTGGAATTCTGTTGCTTTCTGCTTTCATAACTCTGATTCATGTCACTGAGAACATTTATAACAGTCTCTTCATTCTTGGGCTGCTGCTTTTGTGCTGTGGCATTGAGACTTTTCACATCTTCATGTTCTTCTTTTTCACGGCCTTGACAAGAAGTGCAAATATGGAAGAGAAGGGTAGCTTGTAATACAGCAATGTATACTGTAAATGTACAAGTGAAATCCGGGATGGTGGGGGGAAACACAAAATTTTTCTTACCTTTTCCTAAATGAACAGCCTGCCACACCAGAGTCACAGTGAAAAGAATTCTACAAAAAACCAAAGAGCTGAAATAAATCTGTGCTAGTAAGACACAAAACACCAAAATGAAGATGGGTGGGAGGGAGCTTTTTCAAAGCTTTATCAACCATTGATAATGTAAACTATAAATACTTTATGCCAGCAGTAATTCGAATTAACGCATCAAAAACCTCAAATTAAGCTTGAAAATTGGGAGGTGGAGAACAGGGACATACAGATTAGGCTTGCTTCTGGAAAGCGATGGATTCCATACATTTGCTGGTTAACAAACAGTCAAAAATTTCTCTTTCTGTACATTTCTTTACCACAACTATGCTGTTGCCAGTAGTTACAAAAGCAGCAAAGGCAAGAGGAAAACATTAGCCTTCACTTCACCCACAGGTCCAGGTACATTTGTTCCTTTCAGCTTCCTGGCCTGATTATCAACCAAAAAAAAGCACTGCTAAAAGCAAAAGCATCCTTGGCTAGAGAAGGGCCTGGCAGCTCAGGCAGCCTTACCTAACATGATTTCCCCAGTACATTTTCCTGCAGCCTGAAACACCCGTGAGATCCTCCAGGAACGCTTAAGTAGAAGCAAGAGGTCCAAAGCTCCTCACTGAAGGCTGTTGCATGCAGCAGTCCTCATACCATACACGGCAACAAGTGAAGGAGAAAGGAGGGTGGATGAAACTTTTCTGTTTCTGTCCAGCTTATAACAATGTCGAAAAGACATAGTTCCCAGTTGTACCGCTTGCTGAGCCCTCAGTGAGGTCCTGGCAGGCAGGGACCATCTCTCCAACCTGGGACTCTGTGGCCTGCCCCTGATTTACATGCACTGCTGAAGGGTGGAGCAAAGTGGAGGCACCTACTCCTGGGGACAGACTTAAGGGCCCACGACCACAAAAAAGCCCAAGACAGGAAGATCTCAACTCCAGTTTATTTCTTAACATAAAAAACCTTGTACCACCACATACTGCATGGGGAAGAAAAAAACTGTTCTGCAGAACTGCAATAGATGTATAATAAACTGCAGCAGGTATATAATGAAAGTTGAAAAGCCTCAACTCTACCTACATGCCTTGTCTCTACCAGGGTTTTCCACAGGCGGCTCTACTTTATGAAACTGTATCACTTTGCAGCACTGATAATCCTTACAGTCTGCATAAGAGGTTTCTACCAAAAGTACTACAGAAACAAATATAAGGTTATTGACAGAGGTTTGTTGTCTCAAAAGAGCTGTTCATAAACTCTTGAAATACCTTTTGAAACTTTTTTACTATTAGTAAAATTAGACCCATTAGTGCATATTGCTAGTCTGGATCCATGCAATATCAGCAGATACCTAGATTTAACTTACCATGTGCGCTGAAATGGGCTGGGACCACTCACACAACTTTAGTATGGCTCAGCAGCATCAGCAAAACGACGTGCAGCTGGACAGTGGTAAGAAAGCAGCTTTGGGCAGTTTTTTCTCAAATGGCTCTACTTGTACCCCAGAGTGCACGTGGCCTTTACCTAAGTTGTAACACAAAACTGCAGCGACACAACTTTGTTTTGTTTTGGGGGGACATGTGGAAGAGGGATGCTTTCACTATGCCACTGCAAATCAATCAAATTGTACCATGGCTAGATACATGATCACATCAGACATATGGGTCAGACCTTCACTGAAGAAATGGCTGTACTGGCTAAAGACATTGTCATGTCTTCTTGTTTGTAACTCCCTGTGGCTGACACTTGTCAGCTTTGCCTGATCTAAACTAATGCTTTGGAATCTGTGAACACCCCTCATCCAATGTGGTACAAAGGCTGGCTTAATTTACAAAGAGTGATGTCCAAATTGAGTCAACCTGCTTGGCACTGAAGCAGATGGATAGTGTTCTGAGGACATGCTCTTTCATGTCTCCAGTGGAGACACTGATCTTCAACAAGAGGATAGAGGTGCATGGCTAGAGATGTGAAATGGCTGTTTGTGCAGGGAATGCTTGCAGGGAGGGCTCTGCTGGGCTACGTCAATCTTAGTGGATAAGGCATTTCTAGCGCTGGTACAACTGTTGACTCCAATTGATCTAAGCTCAACCGTTTTCTTGTAGGCTAACTCCTTTAGCTTCATGGTAACTTGTTTCATGGTATGTTCCATGTTTGTTACTAGTTTAAATTTATTTAGATGAAGCTATTCTTGTTCCAGACTTGTACTGAAATACCAAGTCGTTTGGAATTGAGAGTCTGTGATGTACGTTTGTGTGTAACTCAGTTAAATCAGCGCTAGAAGAACTTATATGTTAACACTTGTAGGTAAGATATATAATAGAAAGAATGTTATGATAAAAATCACAACATGTTAATTCAGGAAGGGATTTTGTTTTTCTTATCTTAAATAGCAACAATTTTGAAGAGACGGATTACTCTCACCTTTATGCTGTCTGCCTCTACCTGCTGTGATTAACAAGAACTTCTAAACTAAACATGGGTTAAGGTTTAGGTACTTGCTTAAAACCTATCACATGTGTTCAAGTACTGTCATGACAACAGATGCTGTTCTGAATTAGGACTGTGAGATGTTTCACACAAAATGAAACAGATGTCATTTTTGCGTGTATTCACAAAACATGTATGTTTGTTTTATCAACATATGAAAATGCTTAATTGTGGAAAATACTTACAATCCAAACAACTCATGCTTTCATTTGAGTTCTCCAGGGGTATAATGGGGTTAGTATTTTGAGTTTAAAAAGAAGAGCTGTAGTTACATTTGTTCGCTGTTCTTTGTTACTATATTAGGAACAAAATATTAATTTTCAGTTTAGTCTAACTGGTAGTATCACTTTAAGTTACAATATTCATATGCTGAAACGCCGTCATTTAGCATCTAGTTTGCTGGTTTTCCCCTTCCCATAGATCGAAGGCAGAAAAAATAAACAGAGGTAAGTAAACACAGGAACATCACACTTACTGTTTTTTTTTACTAAATGCAGTGTCAATATAGTTCTCTTGGAGAGCTTTTCTGGGTATCAGAATCCCAGCCCTATGCAGGAGCTAACTTTCAAAGTAGGGCTGCTGGTAAAGAAATATTGATCAATTTTCACACCCTGTGCCATTTGTTTAAGATCAGAAGTCAGCCCTGTAACAGCAAGAGCTAACAACCTGGGGAACTGGAAAGCAGTTGGTAAATATTTCTCACTGTGATACCTTGTTTCTTCCTTCCTTCTCCCTACATCCTTACCAGCAAGACACACATAGGAATGGGGCAACATAAATTGCTTAGATGCTGCTGTTCCCTGACTGCTCTATAGAGGTGAGATTGGTGTCACACTGTGGAAAAGTGCTGCTGGTTGTTGACAGAATCTGTCAGAAAGTGATTGCTTCTGCCCAGGGATTTGCGAGGAGCTGCAGTTAGGGAAGATGCACCCCCCTTATCAACATCAAGTAAGATAAGAGTGGAGCCAACCAAAGAGCTGGTCCTGAGCATTTCAGTCAAGCCCTGTGCACACAGGAGATGGGTAACCATTAGTTAGGGGCCTTCAGTGCTCTTAGTTCTGACAGCAGGTCAAGTAGTCTATATGGATAAGGGTGGTAGGAAAACATGGTGTTACTTTATTAGTCTGCATAACCCCGCTTGTGATCATCCAGGGAACTATAGGTCTGTAGCCTACATCTTCTGGCACTGTTTCCCAACGTGCAACTGGGCCACTACACTGAAAGTTGAAATGTGTGTAGTATGTGCTGGTTTTTGGTATGTAAGTGTTTCATACCAACTGTATTCCTGTGTAAATACTCAGTATTTCTGAGAGCTTCAGGATCAGTAGATGCATAAGGACTGGAGGCAGCAATGGGAAAAAAAGAAACAAGGGTGAGGAAAATATGGGTGTCCCTGGCTTCCTGGGAGCTGTGCTGAAAAGCCTGCTCAGAGGAATGCAAAGTTCAGCCAAAGTGTCTGCTGACAAGAAAGTTTTACATTCCCAAATTCCAGCTTAGGGCTAGGACCAGACTGGGCAACTCTAACCAGACTCTAACCAGATTGGGCAATGTTAAATCAGTTATGCAGAATATTATGGAAATCAATGGAAAGCAATTATCCCCCCCTGGACATTTATTGAAATCTTGGGAATAGAGACTTCCGTGAAGCAAAGCTGTCAACCTGGGTGACTTACAGTTTTCTGAGAAAAGGGCAGACCCCGGACAGTCTAGGCTGGGAGCTCTCAGGGTGTGCTTAACTCATTAAATGGTAAGGATCCTGGATGGAAAGACCTAATACTAGCCAGCCCGATATTTTTATTTTTATTTGTTTATTTTTTGTTGGCTGCAGCTGCTACTAGGACTTCTGACAGCTACCCAGGCATTCTTGCTTTTTAAAGGCTATGTAAACCTAAAACACAGTTGGACTGAATGATTTTCTTGTTGTCACAGAACTTTTCCGACAGGGGCTGGTCAGACCAGTTCTTACTACTGTCAGGAATTTCCTGTAGGAT